TTCAATTCCCGTTTGCTGATAGGTTCTTAATTCTTTTCATTAATGGTCCTTAAAAGTACTTAATTTCCATGTGCAGAAATGTGTATGAACCCTGTATACTCCTAATCTTTTTAGCTTGATGAAGTTAAAAGCTTCTATCTGTTTCAATTTTGATTGTTAGATACATAGATACTTCTCCAAGATTTTGAATGTTGAACTTGAATTGATTCACCCTCCTTGTCACTCACGACTAATATGTCATCAATGTATATGATTATACAAGTTCTTGCATTTTTCTTGTTTATTGTAAAGGAACATGGATCAGCCTTTCCTTGAACATATCCTTGTTTGCACAGGATTTCAGCTGTTTTGTGATTCCAATTTCTGCCAGCTACCTGTTTGAGTCCGTAGATATTTTTGTTCAGTTTACAGGCTTTGCTTCTGAAACAGAGATGAAACCTTCTGGTTGTTTCAGGTCTCCATATAGAAAAGCTGTTTTTACATCGAAGTGGTTTACATACATGTTCTTTTGAGCTGCTATTGCCAAGATTGTGGTATATTTTACAACTAGTTCAAATGGTTCATCATTGTCATGCCTGAATTGTTGGCAATATCCCTTAGCTACTAAAAGAGGTTTATATCTGATAACATATCCTGAAGTGTCAAATTTTGTTTTTAATGTCCATTTATTTCCAGTTGCTGTCTTTCCTGTTGAAAGATTGATTAGTTTCCATGTTTTGTTTCCCTTTAGTGATTCCATTTCTTCTTTCATGGATTTTTAACCAAAGTTCATTTTCTTTGGCTGGAAAAGTTTGCAGCTTTAATTTTCTATGTTGTTAGCCATGTATGAAAATATAGTGGGATTCCCTTAGTCATTCTCTCAGATCTTCTCGGTACTAGGGAAGTTTCTTCTGTTTCAATTCCTTCCTCTGTTGCAGCATTTGGATACTATTATCTCGATTTTCTTTAAGAGGCCATTCTGATCATTTAATCGATGAGGTATTTCTCCATTTTTGTTTTTATCGAATATTATGCTTCTTCTGATCACAACTTTGTGTGTGGCATGTAAATTCTCTATCTTCCAGTACAGTTACTGTATCCAATGAGGATTCCTTTTCTGCTTTGGAATTAGGCAATATGGCTTAAGGTTTTTTATTATTATTCCAGAGCTTGCAAAAGGTTTTTCTGATTTACCTTGATGGTAGCCTGTTTTGTAGATGGGGCCATCATTACAGCTTCACCCCAGAATTGTCTTTTAAGTACTGAATCAAGTAGTAGGCATCTTGTCATTTCCATTAAGTATGATTTTTCTTTTTTTTCTTTCTACTCTACCAATCTGTTGCAGCGAATATGTCACGGAGGTTTAATGTTAGATTCCCTCTTTAGATATTCTTCATCTCCTTGTTTGTGTATTCTTCTCCATTGTCTGTTCTTAAGACTTTTGGCTTCTTTCCACATTTGTTTTTCATGGTTACAATTGCTTTAACTGAAGATAGCTTTATCTTTTGTAGCTAGCAAACAGACTGTTGCGTATCTCCAATGATCGTTGCAGAAAGTTATGAAGTATTTCTTTCTTCCTAGTGATGTTGTACCAATCAGTCCATAAATGTCCAAATGTATGAAGTCTAGAACTGATTTTGCTCTATAGTAGTTCAGCTTGGGATATGGCAATTCGGACATTCTGCTTCAGCATTGGCATTCTTTTTCCTTTTTAGTTTCTTGATCAATCCTTATTCTGGTTGCCAGGTCATCCTTCTTTAGCCTCCTGATTGCTTCATAATTTCTCTATGCTATTTTCACTTCCTTCTGCATCTGCAGTTTTAGCCTTTTTTCTTTGTAATTCAGTTATGGTATATAAATTTCCTTCTGTTTTCTGCAAATATCTAAAATTTAACTGTAAACCCTTTTTAATTTTTCGCATGAATATTAATCTTCCTAGGCCAGAAACATACAGAACATCTAAGAGTCTTACTTCTATTCCATTATCTTAGTTGTCTGTACAATATAAGTATCCTTCTTTGATGCCTTTGAACTTCATCTGAAAACAATCAGCAATTATTTGCTTCTACCTAATTTCATGAAAAAGTTTATCAATCATATGACAATTGGCTCCTGAATCAACCGACCAGTTAGAGTTTTGAAATTTTCTTTCTCTAATGACTTCAAACATGTAATTTTCAGTCTTCTCAATTTCTTATTTTTGTTTTCATCTTCGTGTGTATCCTCGTTTACAGTGACTTGGTTTTTTTGTTTATTTACATAATTTCCTTTATTCACTTGCTTCTCACTTTTGAAAAACAGTTATTTTCGTTTTTGTTGTTTTCTTCGTGATTAATTAAGAATCTGCTTTCTTTTCCTAGGTGCAAACCTAGGTGTCCTATTTTTTGCAATAATTGCATCTTTGCTGACTGAAATGCTTGAATTTTGCGTTAAAATTTTTTTTTAAAGCAGTTGTTTCTTTTGTTAGTGTGCCTTTTTTTTAGCATTTGTCAATGAGTTTCATTTTTACGTATATCAACATCAGTTCTGTGTGTGCTGAACTGACGAATAATCCTATTAATTTTTTCAGAAGCATTTCAAGTTTGTATTTCCATAGTTGATACTAGTTACTGTTTAGTGTGATAATCGAATATTTATTTTCACACCTAGTAGCCAGTTCTGCTTCTGTTTCTCGAATGCTCAGTACACTATGTTAGTTTTTATCACTTTTATGAAGATAGGCTTGGGCTTTTCTTTTTTTGGATTATCCAGTGTTAATTTATGGATATGTGTTATGCGTTTGGTTGGCAAATATTGAAAGTTTGCACAGTTCGTTTGTTTACCATCTAAATGCCAGATGTTATTCGCGATGAGCAGATAAATTAAACGGAATGAAAGTCTCTTAGCTTATTAATGAGTAATCTGTCATGCTGTGTGTAAGAAGCACAATTAGAAAGCAAAAACATATTTATTAGGTGTGAGAAGGAAAAATATATCTAGCAATGGTTACAAGTTCTCTCTTCATGGCAGAGCACGTTAAGAGTGATCCATACAAGGAGAGAAGTTTGTCCTTCTATGGGATTGAATCCAATAGTTAGCTGGGGTGAGGGAAAGTAACATCAGATGTATAGCTTAATTGCTTTCAATGGTGATTACTCCACAGTTAATTGATCATGAAGCAAAAGTTACTGCACAGAAATTACTTCAAGACATCAGTGAAAATACTACACTTATACTGCATGTATGATGTGAAGAATTTACATTTTGAATGCGAAATTCCAAAAGAAATCAATACTGCAGATATTTTACCTTATATGGATCATGAATGTTTAAAACCCAGCTTTTAAAATGCAAAAACGAAGTTTTTTTTTCAATGTTTCTTTATTGAAGAAATATGATGGACAGACAAATGATTATATTGAGAATACACCCTGATTTTTCTCGGATGTAAAAAACTTCTGAATTGCTGCCTACAAACCCACTGAAATTCTTACAAATGCCTCGCATTCATTTTGCAGCATGTAAATAAAGGCGATATCATGATCTACAGACGGGATAACAAACTCAAATTTTCCACATAATTGTCTTTGCATAGTGTTTTAATTATATTAAAATATATACATTTTGAAAACAATAATAATAAAAAAAAAAAAAAAAAAAAAAAAAAGGAAAATTCTGCAGACTGCAGAAAGTAACATTTGAACACCCGAAGAAATACTTAAAAACGGTTTATTATTAAACTGAACAACAGATGAAATAAATGGTAGAAGTTTTAAAGTAATTAGCAGCCAACATTTCAAATAAATCTGGTATCGCATATGTGCAAATTTATTTAAAAGTTAAGCAATTAAAATGCAAATATTTCTACTATTTACTATGGTAAGTGCAACACCTTCTAGTACAAATAGCAAAAACCATAAATTCCATATGGATAACTTCATTGTCGTCAGAACTTTTCTATAATCTAACATGAGATTATTTGGAAATATCCATTTCAATAATAAGAATTTTTCCAGTGGCATTATTAATATTAAAAAATGAAACGATATTATGTACTTAGGACAACTTTATGTAATGCTGATATGCTAAGTAATATGCACAGCTGAAATGAAAATACTAGTCATTCTGTACTACAACCAATGTATGGGATACATAGATTATAAAACAGAATGATTGACAGGTGCACTTTAAAGTGGATTAAAAACCTAACATTCTTGAAACACATCTTCTGTCCAAAATGTATCATACATAAAAAGACATGCAGATGTGAACGTTGCTGTATGTATTGACTCTAAAAATTTATCATGATATAACCTTCAAAAAACAAACCAAATTTTATATGTGTATATTAAGGAAGTAATTTTAAACAAGTTCATTTTCCTCAAAGAAAAACAAATGAAATTTATTTCATCTCAGCGTATTTCTTACCAAATATTTTATAAAATTTTACAGATATTATTAAAAAAATGTATTCACTTTTTAATCATAAATCTATTTTCCAATGTTAATATATGAGAATGGAATTTTGCATATCGATAAAAAAGTGAGACTGGTTTTAAATAGAACAACGGAAGAAACAATCATCAATAAACCACAAATTTTATGCACCTGAACTAAAAGAATGGTGGAAAATATAACATATTCCCCAGGTCAAGTCTGAACAATGAATAAAAGAGGCTGCAAGAGGGATGAAATCTTATTAAAAAATTTGAAGGCAAAAAGTGTTAAATCATGGATCTACAATCTATTTAAAACAAATTTTATAATACAGATAGTAGTAAATAAAAACATGCTTAGTTCTCTAATCAGAAAGTTTCTCATCTGCAATTAATAAGAACATCATGGGAATAAAATAATTCTCATCTTATTTCATTTTAGTTTCTGGTCACTACTGGGAAAGCAAGATAGTTGATATTTCTCCACTCCTTTTATAAATTAATTACTGAACTTATTCTTTATGGATACCAGGCATTACATGGAAAATGTAGACATGAATACATTTCACATATGTGCTACTATTAACAGAGAAATCTAAAATTCCATTTTCAAGATAAATACTTTATTTCAGTATAAATAAAAGTGATGCACACTGAAAGTAATACATAATCAACATACAATTTTAACACTGTACATTAAATAAGAAGAAAGATGACATATTTACAAAATTTTATCTAAAAACTTTTGCGATAACTTTTATCACATCAGAAACAAATTGAAATATTCAAAGTTCATATCACTTCCAAGCAGAAATTCAACTTTGAAGATTCTGTTTCTGCTTCTCAATTTCAATTATGTGTTTCACACCAACCATCCATTGTTTAACCTATAAAAATAAATATAATTAAAAGCTGCATATTTTGCCAATTTATTCATATAATGGAACTTATAATAAAAATGATGCAAAAAGTGTATTTGTGCTGAGTAAATCAAATAGGAGGGGAAAATTAAGATATGAATTCGCTTTAATTCACAGTCATTTCATTTGCTTCAGTTAATTAATTCACAAACAAAATTGTTCTATTTTACAAAAATATGTCTTCAAGTACAGGTAACTCTTTCTTAGATACACAGAAAAGAAGACAGTTTCTTATGCTTATTATTACTTTATTTATTATTACTTTCTTTAGTACTTATCCAGCAAAGGTAAATCCTTAAGTATAACAGATAAAATATTGACAACAGTTACATAAAAGCGATTCTAAAACTATCATAATCCAATGCTTTTATGTTAGATCCAATGCTATGTTAGATTATCCCAATTTCAGTTCACTGGAAAAGACAACTAAGCCAAGATTGGCTTGAGCTATCATTTTGTTTTTTTTTCTAACCAAGACTGACTTTTAGTGACCATTTTATTTCCCCACACCTGAAAAGTGTATTTTCTGAATGGGTTCCAATGATCTACTTGTCTGTGACTTGAGTGAAGTCAGTTTTCCTTAAAGAGACGTTTATGAATACATCCTTTCTCTTAGATAACTTTTGCATGCTTTGACACAATCAATTTTCCAACCAATAAATACCTATCGCAGAAGTTTGATTCTTCAACCAAATTTATGGAACAGCTTTTAACCTTATGGGCTCAAACACTTATAAGATCTATAAAAAGACAGAGTTTCTTGTATCTATTGTTCCCCCTTTTCAGGAAGCCCGTTGCTATTTGTAGCAATGGCTTTTGCATGTAATGTAATTCATGATTAGAACAGGGCTTTTACTTTACAGAAGGAAGGGAAATGTGGAGATTATCAATTAAACTTCAACTGCTTTCCCTTATGGGGGAAAAATTTAGAGGTGTAACTGACTCTAAATCAAACTACACAGTGGTATACAGAAGATAAAAAGATCATTTTATTTCTCCATATTAAAGCACATAGCTTTCTTTTTTAAATGTTTTATGCAAGTGTCTATAAAAATGTAAACAAAAATTCAATTTTATTATATTTTTAAGTTATGCTACAAAACTCCTCACTGTTTTGTTTATTTTGAAGATATTTTTAGTCTTTAGACTAATGAAGTCTCCATAAATTTGTTTCCCATATATTTCATGAACTTGTTTTCTTAAATTTACAAAAATTCGAAATTTCCTTAGCCAAAAAAAAAAAACACCATGCAGATGTTATTGTGCACAGAAAAGTTATATACTTTCAAGCTTTCCTTAGCCAAGGAGGAAAAAATGCAAATGTTAAAGTACACAGTAAAGTTACATACTACCAACTTTCCCTGTAATTTTTACTTTGTTTAGCTATGAATTGTTATAAAAAATATTCGAAATATAAAATTTTTCCCATGCAAGTACTGGTTAAAAATTAAAAGTTTAACATTACTGAAATGATTAAAACCTTAAACTGTACAGCAAAGTTGTAATTTAAACGCTGCAGAAAAGTTAATATATCAAGTCTAAATAAATATTATAAATTTGGCTGAAAATGTAATGCTTATGGGAAAAAACTGACAAGAAATTAGAATATGTGATGCTTTAATCAAAAATGACTACACTGTATTATTTATATTTATTCATTTATTTACAAAGTGCCTCTAATTTATTTTAAGTTCCATTTAAAAATTATGAGCAGAATAAAACAGTAAAAAAGAAGTTATAAATTATTTTCTGGAATAATATATTTGTTTTAACAATTAGGAAGGAGGATAATTTGAACAAGTAGCATTTTATGTGTTTATTAAAAAACAGAAAGTAAAATTATTTCTTGGTCAAGAACAACAAAAGGACTTTAATTCACTAATATATTAACTTATTTAATAGCACAAAACACATTGAAAAGCACCAGATTTACTCGTGAAATCCCTTTGTCCTTCTTCTAATAACTAATTTCACACCCTTAACCCTCAGAAGGCCAAATCATTCACTAACCTGTTTGCTTAAATAACTGAAATTCCATTTGAGATTCAGAAAAGATTCTTTTCCCCAATTCATTAGCGAACAAAGAGCTGTAAAAGTTCCAAAGTATTTCTAGTTTTTAACAAAGGAGCTGCCATTAGCGCCTGTGTGTATATTAAGTCACTTTAACCTAAAGATAAGGAACCATAAAAGAATCCTTTCTGGACAAGACTATTGCAGTTTGGGAAACTGCACCTTAGGCTATTGTGTACTTTAAGGGGAGGGTAAAAACAGCATGCGATCTTCGCCATTCGGGTAGCAAATGGTAATTTGAATGAAAGTTTGTCTTGGGTGCTTTAGTCGTAAAAACGTTACCTGTATTATCAAATAACGTATTTTACTTGTATTATCAAAATTATGGCAAATTTTTATAGCAGAAATAATTTTATATTGGAAGGGAAAAACTGTATTGTACACAATTTTGGAAAAAAAATGGGAAAGAAGTTACAGCACAGTTAACTGCTGTCTTGAATACCTTGTATTATTTATTGTTCTGGGTTTTATAATGTTACATATTTTAGCATTTCACAAACTCTTATAACAATACTTTCATATTTCTTCTCCAGTCAATATTCATTTCCGTTGCAGCATACTGCAATAAAACAAAGTAAAATTACTCCAAGAAATCTCGCAAAAAAAAAAAAAAAAAAAAAAAAAAAAAAAAAAAAAGGGAATATTCCAAAGTAATGCAAGGCTCTGTTTATGCTTTACAAATGCAGAATTCTGAAATTACAAAGATAAAAAGGGACGCACACGAAAAATTGGACCATAATACAAAGACCTTTGAAAGAGATTAAGTGGTTAAGTCTTCAGTATCATCAAACCTGACAGCTCACTCTGACTCTTTCAGATTAGAAAATTTGGGGGGGGGGGGTCAAGGCCATTAAAATGGGCATCTCCCTCCTTTTAAACAGGGAATACTATGGCCAATAAAATGGCTGTCCTGTCCTGAAAAAGGTTAAGTTTGCTTCTTAAATTTGGTGGTATTACTAACTGGACTTTTGCTCTCTAAAGCCATTATAAAAACTTAACATTTAAGGAATCTTAAAAGTTGTAATAGAATTCCCTCGTTTATTTTGAAAAACTTTAAATATGCAAATGTATGTCCAGAACCAACACTTAAGTAAATAATGCCCGTAGTCACTTTATTCCATCACATTTTTCTCTGTATATTAATTCAGAAAAAATAAAAATTATCTCTCCCTAAAACCACTAGTTGACAGTGCCACCCTGGCTTGTATAGTGGTTAGTGACAGTGGTTACCATATCCATGGGCACAGATTTGAATCCCAGAGAAGTGTGTTTAAATGTTTAAGTTTGTTAAATGTCTTAAATGTTTGAAGTGTATAGCATTTTCATGGCATAGGAGAACTCAAAATACATAGCAAATCGAAAGTCCATTTAGTGGCTTTTGGCAGGAGACCCTTGGGTCTGTCTCCTAGGAATTCTCTCCCCAAACTGTGAGAGAACTTGGGCAAAGGCCAATGACAAATGCAATCCTGCACTGCAACAGCTAATAGTTTTATAGTGTAAGTGTTCATGTTTGAAAAATCACATAAGTTAATCTTTTTTTTGTTAGATAAGGTTAACAAAACAGATATAACATTTAATGAAAATAATATATGAAATTAGCATGTACTGCTAAATGATCAAAATCCCATAAGTTTACAGAAATCAAGGAGTATCAGAAATTTCAGTGTTGAAAAATAACAAAGTAAATGGAAGTATAAAAAAGCAGACCTTCAATGTATGACCTACCACAGTTAACATATATTTATTTCCACATGGAACAGTTTAATGCAGAAGTGTTTTGTGGAAGTAGATCAGAAATGGAAGGAAATACTTTTTACTCATACAGGGAAAGTAAGACCATTTCTTTGAAATGAGAATATTTATTTATTTATAGTAATTCACGCACAAAAATGAAATTACCAAAAAGGTAATGAAACAAAGAATAATATGAAACTTCCTAATAGGCAAAACTGCTGACTGAAACCCATTCTTAAACTGCAATTAAAAGAAACTTATTCTCCAGTTTTGCTTCCCATGCCCATTCCAGAATTATTATATATGTGACCATGTTTCTTTATGCAGTTTCTCTTTCCTTTAACACGAATGTACCCTTGCTAACCAAGAGTATGTGTTTCTTTTTATGATATACAGATCTCCCTTTTAACAACTGAAAGATGAAATACCAGATTTAACCACTTGCGCTAAAAAGACGTGCCACGCACGTCGAGATGCTTTTGTCTCAAACCGCGAGCGACGTCAACACCACGTCGATAGGCATTTATCGCAAAATTGAAAATAATGTGGTGCACACGTTGCCTAACAACGAGATTGTTTATTTCTCAAGTTACAGGTCTGGATTGCACTCGCAGAGGCGGAGCGGCATGACTGCTTGTTATATTACAGCGCACGGCACCGCAACAGTGAAGTTTAGTCGTAGCACAAGTGGTTAAGCATACTACAGCAAATGCTACCATATACAATAATAATTCTTTATGCAAGCTAGAGTATATGAAATTTTTAAAAGTATGACATATGAACTCCATTATAAAGATTTCACATAAGTGCTAAATTCATATAATTCTATTCATCAAAGTAAGTTCATATAATTTACAAATTAGTAGTTATGAATAAAGAAGTAAGACAATTTTATGAAGAATTACAATGTCTGAACTTTAGATTTGTATTTGAAAATGCATGAAGACAAGAAGCTAAAAATTCTAGATTTAAGGTATATGTCCCAAGGATAATAGGAGAGCTATTAGAGAATTTATGCTAGAAATAAAAAGTTGTGGAAATAGACGTGAAAATGCTTTTACTTCAAAACTTACATATTTTCTCCATAATTACTAATGTGTGTAAGAAATTCATACATAAAAACAAACATTTCATCAAAATCTATTCACATGGTAACTATTAAAACCTAAGTTAAAATTATTTTGTAAATTTATTTCATTTCCTTACTTTAGGCACATACTAACAGCATAAAAACTTGGGATTCGTAAGTTAATTGACTATGGGAAGGCACACTATAGCTATCTGCCTAAAGAAAATGATACCTTTGCAAATAACTTTTTAAAAGAAAACTAGCTTGTTTTCACTATGACAAAACTATGACCAGCCTGTTCACGAAAGAGTACATAGGATGAACTACTAATATTTAGTGATCTGTCCATTTGGTCACTGGTTCATAAACTTAAAGGAAATAAAAATTCACTTTTTAAAGATGCCTTTAATTCAAAACATTTCTCAAAAGCTGAAAGGTTTAAAAATCAATTCATCAGAAATATTTAAAAAAAATATAAAATATATTTACTTCCCGCACATGTTCAACGATTAAAATGCAATGTACTTTGGATGCAGCATCAACATTTCCCCTGGATAATTCTGCAAAGATAAATAAATATATATAGAGATAAAATTTAAACCTATAAAGCTAAATCATAAGAGTTTTCCTTATGTTCACAATAATGATATCAATTTCAGTGTTAGATACCACATCTTAATACTTTAAAAACTCTTAAATGAAAATTCTAAAGAATTCCAAGAATGCTTCTTACTGTCATGTGAAACAATTTTAAATTTGTATTTACAATTTGTATAACAACCCTATATCAGCACAATCAAAATATTAAATGCCGTAAATTAAAGTCAATTAATATAATTGTTTAAGAAAATAATATCAAGAGTGCCATTTAGTTCTACATAAATTTTCAAAATAAGAAAAAGTTTGCAAATATAATAACAATTACATTGTATAATAATAATAAACAAATTTTCATATGCATAATATGATGGCTATCATGCCTCACTGTATTAAACTCTAAAAAATCACAGTTTGACTTACAAAGTGAAAGCAGCAAATTTACTAGTTAAAAAAATATTTGCATAATTGAATTAAAAATTATTAATTTTTTGAGCAACACTAAAAATGTTACAAATGATATGCAAAAGAACATTATTATTATTATGTTACATTTCATACCCAGAATGGTGATTACTTCTGTATAAAATACATTGAAGAGCCGAAAAACTGGTATAGGTGTACATATGCAAATAACAGAGGTATAGAACTGATCACAGTAAAGCCTGCCAATCGGCAGCACCTATAGAACACTAGAAATATCTGGCAAAATATTACATAGGTTACTGCTGTTACAATGGCAGGTCATCAAGATTTAAGTGAATTTGAATGTGGTGTTATAGTCAGCACATAAGAGATGGGAAATAGCACCTCTGAGGTAGTGATAAAATTTGGATTTTCGCATAAAACCATTTCATGAATATATTGTGAATATCGGGAATTTGGTAAAACATTAAATCTCCCACAGCACTGTGGCCAGAAAAAGCTCATGAAAGAACAGGTCCAACGACGTCTGACAAGACTCATTAAAAAAGACAGACACGCAACCCTTCCTCAAACTGTTGCAGATTTCAAAGTTGGGGCATCAACAAGTGCTAGTGTATGAACTGTTCAATGGACCATCATTGATACGGGCTTTTGGAGCCGATGGCCCACTCGTATATTATTGTTGGCTGTATGACACAAAGCTTTATGCCTCACCTCAGCCTCCCAACACTGCCATTGGACAGTTGATGACCGGAAACATTGCCTGATTTGATGAGTCTTGTTTGCAACTGTATCGGGTGGATGAACATGTACGAGTATGAAGACAACCTCATGAATCCATGGATTTTACATGTCAACAGGGGATTATTGCAGCAGGAGGCTCTGTCATGGTATGGTTTGTGAGCAGCTGGCAAGATATCAGACCCCTGATACATCTAGATACAACTTTGCCAGGTGACGGATAAACAAGCATCCTGTCTGATCACCTGCACCCATTCTAGATACAACTTTGCCAGGTGACGGATAAATAAGCATCCTGTCTGATCACCTGCACCCATTCATGTACACTGTGCATTCTGACGGACTTGGAAATTCCCAGCAGGACAGTATGACACCCCACACGTCAAGAGTTGTTACCAAGTGGCTCCAGGAACACTTGGCATCAATGAAGATGCATGAGGTAAGAGTTTTACATTATTTTTTGTTGAACCTAATACAACACTATTGTTTATTTTATTTCTAAAGTCTAATATGAAATCAATCTATTAATATAGTTTAAAGAACATAAAGATCACTAATCAGAACTATGATACATAAGTGTAGAACATTGTGATGTATAGTAAGGTGATAAAGAATTGAAAATATATACACAAGCAGACACAGACAGAAAATTCTAGAAACAACAACAAACAAACAAACAAAATTCCAAATATATGAACTTTATACTATAAATACAGTAATTTTAGATTACATTTCAGAAACACCCAAGGAGAAACCTTGGTCAAAGCATCAGAATATGAAATTTTAGCACTGCAACAGAAGCAGAAGTTGCAAAGCTTCTAATGAATGGCAAAGTCACCAGAAAGACAAATAAATGACACACAGCCTCTACAGACATAAAAAATAGCTTATATGCATTTAACCATGCCAAAATATTATATTCAGTTCTAGGTATTTTCCCCCAAATTTAAAATTTTCTTTTTTAGCTAATGATGTATTGATATTTTTCACAATTAACTTAGTTACTCATTAATGATAAACATATACTGAGCTACTACCTAATTACATTATTTAGAAACAAAAGAATAAAAAATTTGATGTGTTATTTTAAGGCCAGCATAAATAATTTTCCTAGTCATAAATTTAGAGTAACAAGTGAATGCATTTAGAAATAGAACTTCTCAAACATGCTTTGAAAACAGTTTACAAAAGCGTTAGAAGTTACCATTATTAATTGACCAAGATTATTTCGATTTTATATAAGTATTGTATGTGAATTTCTATTATATTTCTACTACATATTTTCAAAGTGCAACTAATTATTAATTATAAGACTAATTTTTGAATTTATTCTATGTAAACGGGAATATGTTTAAAAAATAAATGCAGCAGCATTACATATATGCATAAATATATTTTCACGAGAATGAAATTGTAAGATATTTATTTATATAACTCACTTGTAGTACCCAAACAACATAATACAGTGGACACTCTAACCCAGCCTTTAAAATGAACTAACATTTTTGAGCAATGAAAAAAATTGAGTGATAATTTATAACATGCTTCTCTAAGAAAACTGCTAGTTAATTAGGTATCAAAATATCTTAATTTTGGTATCAACAAAATATTTCAAGTATTAAACAAATTAAGAAACATATTTCCAGCAGGAAAACTATTCTTACACAGAAAAAATTTCATTCTAGTTTCAACACATTGTGTAGCTTACCTTATATGTTCAATTGACAAAAAAAAAGTTTGAATTATTCACTTTGGTCTTAGTAAGCTCTTAGTAAATTTTTCATTATGCCCTGTCTGAGCAACATGCAAAGTATAAAATTCTCACATGGAAACCACATGATTACCTTTACAGCTTATTAAATTATACACGTTTTGCTGCATTTCATTTAAAATTATTTTCTTAAATTACCCTAACTGGAATAACCGATCGCTCAAGGCAAGTTGAAAATGACATCAAAAATTACAAATTTAAAAATGAAATAGCCCAGTCAATTTTTGTGATACGGGAATCCAATTTATTATAATCTAATTCTTTCATAATGAGCGTAAAACTTTCCAACACATAAGTATAGGAACCGGGATACGTAATATGAGCAAATACATGTTATATGCATACTCAATACGAAGGTTATCATTACTCACTGTATTAAATTCTCAATAACCACAGTTTGGCATAAAAAGAGAGAGAAGTAAATTTACTTGTTAAAAACCATTTGCAAAACTGAATTAAAAGAATATTATCTTTTTTGAACAATGCCAAAAAATGTTATACTAATTTACAAGTAATGCACAACAGATTAGATATAAATTTAGATAGAAAGTGATTTACAAAGAAATTTTTTGTTATTTGTCAAAAACTAACTTTTTTTTAAAAACCTCACATCGCCAAAACATGAATATTTTCATTATTTCAAACACTTCTGTAACTTAACCACCAACAATTGTGAAAATAAAAAACGGGTAAGTGGCAGGTGTGTATGTGCATATATATATATACTATATAAAGATATAAAGTATGAAATTTAGAACTAATTTTTCACAAAGCCCAAAAATTTTAATTCATAAGTAATAAATTTCAAATAATCCTATAAACATTTAAAAAAGAAAAAAAATTTTAAAACCAAAACTCTTCAAACAAGCAATACCTGAATTCAAAATATTAAAGAAATTTAAAGAAACACGAGCATAATAGAAAAGGATTTTAATCAACTTTAATGTGACTTCGTCAGGACGAGGAACACTGAAATCTCTCTTCCACAAAAATCCTTGCATTTCTGTATCCAGAATTAGCTGATGAACCATTTCAGTGTATTTTAATTATCATAGTTCACCTGAAAATTCTGGCTCCTCCCCAAAGCAAGGAAAAACGAAGTAAATTCTAATTAGAATCTTGTACCTTAAATAAAGAGTATTCTATTTAAAGAATGTTAAATGTTAGTCAAATAATAAAATACTTCAGTGAGAAATTCAAATCAGAATTTTACCTTTAAACAAATAGCACATAATCCAAGGAATTTAAAACGTAAGTGAAATTATAAAACTTTAGTGAAAAGACTTAATTTAAAACTCACAAGAAGTAATTAAAAATCTTCCAGCACTTTCATTTAGAGTGAGTGAGTGAGTGAGTGCACCGCTATGATGGCTTCCGACCACGGACATGAACCAAACGGAATTATATGCCATCACGGCGGGGAAGACTCCAGAGTAACAAGGTTGAATATTATAAACTAATAACAGTTTTTACATATTGTTAACTGCAAGGCACTAAGCGTTATTCTGGTTATCTGCTTTAAGTTCTGAACTTTTGAAACATTATAATATTATCCACGGTTGTTTCTGCTTAGGCAGTGTCCTGAGATTTTCTCTATTTTATCAAGGGCTATTCTGTTTTTGAGTGTGTTAGTCGTCCACATTGCCCCAGGCACAGTCCGCTGGTTTCTTCAAGTGCCAGGGTTCTTGTTTGTACACAATGGAAGTAATAATGGTCCGTGTCGCCTTCCTCTCCGCATTCGCAGAAAGGAGTATCCCTAAGTCTGAATCTGTTCAGGTATACTGGGAATGGTCCATGACCTGTCAAGAACTGTGTTAGGCTAGCACAGTGGGTCTTTATTTCCATGTTAACTTTTGGCAGTAAGCGAAATGTCCTTCGTCCTACCTCTGCCTCTGTCCATCTACTTTGCCAATTTTGTAGCAGACTTGTCAAAGTTGTTCGCTTAATATGAGACCAAGGAAGTTTAGTTGGTCTTTCTCATATATCCATGCAGTTGGCTGCCTGCTTGGCCAGTAGGTCAGCGGC